CCGTGGTGATGTGTGCTTCCGTCCGGACACGTCTGATCCTTCCAGATCGGCGCCTTGCTCCTGTCGTTCGGACTGGCGTTCTCGCCCCAGCGCGGGCCGCACTTCTTGATACGAGTGCTTCCTCGTCGTTGCCGTCCCCTTCCTTTTCCTGCCCCCGCCTGCCCCCGGTCCGATTCCCCCTGTTCATCCCGCTCCTCCCACCCCTGCTCTTGCAGTTCCACCTCGTCCTCCTCCCCCTCCTCCTCCACCTCCCTTCTCCTCCTCCTCCTCCTCCCTCATCCTCTTCCTTCTCCTTCTCCTCCTCCTCCTCTTCCGCTTTTCACTCCGACTGGCTCACCGACTCCGACTTTTCAACAGCACTGCAGCACCAACAGCGTTATACGGAGCAGAGACGTGGACCCGAACCTCTACGGCAGCATCTACGACGGACACAACGACGCATGCTTCGCATGATCATCAGACCGCCACGGAGACGCACAACGAAAGAAGCCGGCCCTCACAGCGGCCAGGGACCTAATCTCGACGGCGCGAACAACGAAGCACAAGACCACGAAGACCGCACCAACAGCACTAGCGACGACGCAGACAGCAACCCATCACAGTGTGATGCACCTGACACGCCTGACAAGCACAGCGAAGACGGCGAAGGCAGCACCACCGCAGACGAAATGGAACCATGGGTCGACTACATCCAGCGAGCGACACGACGCGCAGAGCACCTCATGAAGCTCCTCCACATTGACAACTGGGAGACGCTGCACAAACGGAAATTCTTTACGCTTCGCGTATCCCCACCAGCCCATCTCACAACAGCAACTCTTGCGAAGCATGCCGACAGTCGTGTTTTTCAGGCGTGTGTCCGCTTGCCTCCGCATATCTACCCTGTTCCTCCTTCCTCCCGCCTCCTTGTACATCCTCTTGTGGGGGGAGCGGGAGAAGGACGAGGCGGAGGAGGAGGGAGAGAAAGCGCTCCTCCTGATTTGAGTCGTTTGGGGTTTCTCGTCCTGGTGTGAGTCGTTCGGGCCCTTCTTCCTGGTGTGAGTCGTTCGGGCTCTTCGTGGTGTGAGTCGTTCGGGCTCTTCGTCCTGGTGTGAGTCGTTCGGGCTTCTCGTGGTGTGAGTTGTTCGGGCCCCTCGTCCTGGTGTGAGTCGTTCGGGCCCCTCCTCCTGGTGTGACTCGTTCGGGCTCCTCGTGGTGTGAGTCGTTCGGGGCCCGCGTCGTGGTGTGAGTCGTTCGGGCTCCTCGTGGTGTGAGTCGTTCGGGCGCCTCGTCCTGGTGTGAGTCGTTCGGGCCCCTCCTCCTGGTGTGAGTCGTTCGGGCTCTTCGTGGTGTGAGTCGTTCGGGCCCCTAGTCGGTGGGAGTCGTTCGGGCTCCTCGTGGTGAGTGAGGGGCTTGGGCACTCTCGTCCCCCTTTTTGGGGCGTCTTGGGGGCCTCTTGGGGGCCTCTTGGAGCCTCTTGGGGCCTCTTGGGGGCCTCTGGGGGCCTCTTGGGGGCCTCTTGGGGCCTCTTGGAGGCCGTTTGGAGCGTCTTGGGGGCCTCTTGGCGGCCCCAGGGGCTTCCAGGAGCGTCTGGGGTGCCTCGGGGGAGCCTCTTGGGGCCTCTTGGGGACCTCTTGGGGACATCTTGGGGGCCTCTTGGAGGCCTCTTGGGGGCCTCCTGGGGGCCTCTTGGGGCCATCTTGGGGCCTCTTAGTGCCTCCTGGGCGCTTCTTGGGGCCATCTTGGAGGGAATCGATCAAAGAAGAGGGGAGCTTTAATGAGCGCTGCCCCCTGAGAAGGGCAACATGAGCCCAACACCTTCGTAAAATCAATGATTTTGCCTTGAAGGAAGAGGGGAGCTTTAATGAGCGCTGCCCCCTCAGAAGGCCAACATGGGGCCAAAACCGTAGTAACATCAATGATTTTGGCTTCAAAGAAGAGGAGAGGTTTTTTTCTGCCTCCCCCCGTCGGGGCCAGAATCCTCGTGAGGGGTGTCGTTTTTTAGCCCTCCCAGGAGTCGAAAATGACCCTCCTGACGACCCGCGAAAGGACCTCTCCAGGCCCAGGGGGAGGGGGTAGGGGGAGGGGTAAACCCCTCCCCGAAGGGGAAGAAGGGGGGTTGAGAACAGAGAGGACTCCCTAAACCACTCACGCCCAAAGGGCTGGTGGGATTTAACACGCTGGGCACCCCTGTGTTAAATCAACAGGGGACGGCGGATCCATTGGCCGTCGGCCCATCCCGAGTGCCTGGGTTGTGGGTCTGGGGCTTCGTGGACCTTCGTTGTGATATCGTGCGAGGCCTCTCGGGGCCTCTTGGAGCTAGTTTTGAAGCATCTGGGTGGCCGTTTTGGGGCTTCTTCGGGCCTCTTGGGGGCCTCCTGGGGCCCCTTGGGGGCCTCTTAGGACCTCTTGGGGGCCTCTTGGGAGCCTCTTGGGAGCCTCTTGGGGGCCTCTTGGGGCCCTCGTGGGGCGTCCTGGGGCCCTCTCGGGGCGGAATGCTAGCATGCTCGGTTCGGTGTCCCCCTCTTGGGACCGTCTTGGGATCGTCTTGGTGCCCTCTGTGGCCATCTTGGCAGCCTTTTGGGCCGCCTTGGGGCTCTCTTGTGCCGTCTTGCGGCCGTCTTGGCAGCCTTTTGGACCGTCTTGGGGCGATCTGGGGGCCTTTCGGGCTGTCTTCGAGCGTCGGAAGGCTGAAAAGACGGGAAGACCAACCACCTTCAAGAACCCAAGGGGAATCAAAAGGTTTAGGTTTGGCCTTCGGGGCTTTCTTCGAAAGAGTTTTGGACGCCTCTTGGGGCGTCTTGGAGGCCTCTTGGACCGTCTTGGGGTCATCGGCGCAATCTTTGGGCGTCTCGAAGCCCTCTAGGACCATTTTGGGGCCTCGTGGGGCCCTCTTGGCCCGTCTTTGGGCCCTTTGGGCCCAAACAGTCGTGCGACAAAACGCGCTGGAGCCCAGTGGAGCCGGCGGCAAGCCCCGGGAGAAATCAGAATTTGGGCTCCGGGCCTCCTCAAGATTCTTCAGGAGTGAGGACTGAGGCTCTGGGGATTGGGCAACGGACCTGAGGACACGCCCACTCCGTGCCCAGCGGCGCGGTGGCGGATGTTTGTTGTTCAATACATCCAGTGGGCGTCGGCTCGTCCCGCCCTCGTGCCCGAGGCCTTTTGGGGTCTCTCTGGGAGCCTCTTTAGGGTCTCTTTGGGGCCTCTTGCGGGTTCCTTGGGGCTTCTTGGAGCCCTCGTGGGAATTCGTTGGCGGCCTCTGGGGGGTTTTGGGTCCATCTAGGAGTGAAGGTTTCACCGATCTGGCTGCGGCCTTCTTGGAGGCCTCTCGGTGTGGATGCAGCCTGATGGAGATGCTGTTTGTTCCGATTGATAGCCCGCATCTGATTGTTGGTCGCCATTGCCTTCGTTCCTCTTCCTCATTCTTTTCCTCGCGCGGTTGCGCTGGGGAAGATGTATTGGAGGCCTCTCGGGCCCTTCTTGGGCTCGGGGGCCATCTCGGGGCGATCTTGATGCTGCGTCGGGAGAAGAGGGTCGGGCCCCTCGGACAATCTCAGAGCATGCTGCATGCTTCAGAGCGTGAATTACCTCCCCCGCTTTCGTTTCCAGGCAAAACCAAGTCATACCACGCGCCTCCTCGTCAAGCGGCCTGACAAGCGCAGGCTGTAGTTTGGCATCGTTTGGTATCTCCTGGAAGCGAGGGTGGTCAAAAGCGAGGTAGGTTTTTTTGTCCCCCTAATGCTGGAAGCTCAGATTCCAAACCACGCCCACCAGGCCTCTGGAGATGTCCCGCGGGCCACCCCAGGAGCGCCCATGAGGCCCGTGGTTGGGGGTCTGGGTTCCTGTAAGAGTACAATCGGACCGAGGTACATGATCGAGGGCGGTCCGGGGAGGGTACCCTGCTGTTCTTCGTACACCTGAGGCGATGCTTAAGAAAACTTAAATTTTCGGCCAGAGTCTTGATTATTCTTAATGTTTCAATGTGAACCTTAAGATTTCAATAGAAACGTTGGGTTTTTATTCAAGTTCTGAGACTATGAATTTCTTAACCCATGATTTCTTAAGCATTTCGCAGGGTGTACCCTGCTGTTCTTCGTGCTCGTTGGATGCTTCCGCGCACCCCGGGCAGGGTACCCACGGCTGACCCGTGGGGGCTCGGCCGACGGAGGGTCTCGTTGTCTTGATGGATGTCCCTGCGGCCTGGGTCCGACTGTAAAAGTACACTCTAGGCGATGCTTAAGAAAACCCAAGTTTTCGGCCAGAGTCTCGATTATTCTTAATGTTTCAAGGTAGATCCTAAGATTTGAATAGACATTCTGGGTTTTTATTCAAGTTCTGAGACCATGAGTTTCTTAACCCATGATTTCTAAAGCATTTCGCAGGGTGTACAGTCGGGGCGCTGAAGAAGGAACCCTTCTCGTTGGGGAGGGGCTCCGTGTTCCTTCATTGTTTCACAGTTTGGCCCAGATTTTCTTCAGATCTTCGATGGGGAATCAAAAAGTTCAACCTATGGAAAAAAGAGGGGCCTCGTTCCTTATTTATAGGGTTCCTCAGGTCAACGCCCCGATTGTACTTGCCGTGCTCGGTGTCGACACTCGAGGGCACTCCACCCAATTTCCTGCGGCACGGCGCGGCGGATGCTGCCATCCTGGGCTGAGGATCGGCCCGGGGCCGGGCCTCGGTGCCCGCGGAGAGATCTGCGGTCTGCGATCGGCAGGCGCCGGTCGGCGGCGCGCCCGGGGGGGGGAAGCGAGGAGGGGCGCGGGCCTTCAACACAGGGCTCTCAGAGGTCCTCCTCCTCCTCCTCCCCCCCCCTCCTCCTCCTCCTCCTCCTCCTCCTCCTCCTCCTCCTCCTCCTCCTCCTCCTCCTCCTCCTCCTCCTCCTCCTCCTCCTCCTCCTCCCTCCTCTCCTCCTCCTCCTCCTCCTCCTCCTCCCCCCCGGCCTTCTGAGGAGTTCTCTTCGAACTTTTTGTTCGTGTACGGTCCTTCTCATTTCCCCCCCTCGCTCGCCTCCGAGCCAGGAGAAGGCGCAGAAGAAGGTCGATGACGCTGGGGCCGTCAAGGACCGCCCCGCGCAACGTGCCACGGCGGTTTGCTTTTTGTCGAAGCTGGGAAAAAAAAACATTGGAGTTCGAACGGTGGGCAGTTATCGAGTGCGCTGCTGCTGTCGTCATGTGGCCAAGACAGAGAGTGGCCGATCGTGTCATCGGCGAATTCGGCCACGCTTGCCCCGAGTGCGGTCATCTGCGGTGTCGCCCCCGAGACGCTCAGACGTCGTGTCTGGGACTGCTGATTCCACGAGCCCCCGGAGAGTGCAACGATTCTGCCGACCTGGTCCAGGCGGCTGCGTCCGCCCCAGATGCCCAAACCGACCAGTGATCAGGAGGGGTAGAGCACACAGACACAAATCATCGTCGATTTCCGAAGGGGCATCCTGGGCTTTGGCGTCTCTCCAGTTGTATGCCCCTGGGCCCCTTCGACTGAGAGTGTCTGGCCTCGCGGCGTCCTTCCTGCCTCCCGTGCTTCCCTGCCTTCCTCCTCTCTCACGCCGGACAGTCTGCCTTCCGGTTGCCCCGACCAGGCCCCGCCCCACGCTGGTGCGGACTGTCTCTGCCTCGCCGCCGACGTGAATCGAAAAAGACAACTCGCTATAAACATAAACTTCAAGCGCTCAGCGCGGATTTCTTGGATCCGCGCTGGGCCCCCCCGGCGGCGCCGGAGGCGCCGCCCCTGGCGCTGGGCTCGGGCCACGGTGTTGCCAATCGCGCTAAGGACCCCAAGCTTCGCAGACGTGCCTGGGCGTGGGTCGAGGTTAATCTTGTGGAGGACGATCAATGGACTGCAAGCATGCTGCAACATAGTTTCCAGATGTCTAACAATTTTTAAAACATGTTTTAAACATGTAAAAACATGTTTGAGACATTTTTAGAACATGTTTTATACATTTTAAACACATGATTAAATCAATTATAGGACCGTTAGAGTGCCCATTGTCGTGGCATCCACAAGGTTAATCTCGCGTTGTGCGGCGTTCCGTGGGGTGCAGATCTCGCTGGCCGCTGACCAGCCACGGAGCTGAGCCGAACATGTTATTGAACTGGTTGCCGCATGGTTGCCAGGAGCCACGTCGAGCGAGGGTGGCAAAGGCTACAGACCGGGTCCAGGCCGAAGCCGAACCAGGACCCGCCACGCCTTCTCGCTCGACTGCCCTCCCCTCCTGCCCTCCACCCCGCCGCCTCGCAGGACTCCCACACTCAAAGCCGTCAGTCACGTGGATGCGGATCGATTCCGCACCAGCGGCCTCCCAGGGCTACTCAGACTGGCCAGCTGCTCAGATTAGCCAGCAGCTGGATGGGAGGCCGCCCAGATCCAGGTTCCTCCCGAGACCGCGGGCGGCGCCCTGGGAGTTGGGTGCCTGCCGCCGAGCAGGTTCGCGCTGGGGCTCGCCGTAGCCCTGGTCCGGAGGCTTCTCGAGGCCCCCGAACAGGGGCCCGAGACGATCGACGATCCTCGACCCTCGACCTCCTTGTCCCTTCTGGGGGGATCGATTGAAGCATGATGGGGGGCCCATCCAACCAGGGATTGCCTTTGGCGCGCGTGCTCCGCGCTCGGTGACCGCACAAGAAAAACAACCGCATCCGGAAGTTCTGGACGTTTTTGAAGTAATCTTTGTTTTTCTGTTGTTTTAGCGTCGCGGTTGTTGCTGGCGAATGTTTTATTTCATGCAGTGTTTTTCCGGGAGATTCCCCGATTTGCTTGCGCGAGGCCGAGCGGCGATCATGCGCGGCGTTGCCCGTTTGCCACGACGCGCGCGCTGTTCAGGGGAGTTGGCATTCGTAGCAATGTGGTCGCTGCTGCATAGTGCAGCACTATGCTTGGGGCGGTGCGTCACGCCCTTTTCGTTTACCAGCTGCGCGTGTTTTGCACGGGCGGATTGCCCCGCTGCAGCGTTGCTTCGCGCGGTGTGGTTGCGCCGATTTTGCGCGACGATGCGCTCGTTCACGCGGGCAGAACGCCTCTGCGTGACGACGTCTCCTGTGGCTCTGGCATGCCGCTTTGTTCGTTTCCTCTGGGCGCGCGGGGCACCGCCCCTTCTCTCCCTTCTTGGCGGCGCGCCAGTACTTTGGAATGTCTCTCCGTCTGTTTCGTCCAGCGCTTGCGGTTGCAATTTTTTGGGGGCGTTCGTCATTTGTTGTTCATCTCTCGCCCAGCCTCTCTCACCTCACCCCGACAAGACCAATACTCTCACCAACGTCAGCCGGAGGGCTGGCAGAACAATCACGCACATCGTCTTAGATGGTGCACGCATAGACATTCTACCCAACGACCAGAGTACGAAATACTTTGGCAAAAAGTTATCGTTCCACGACTTCCACGGACATGAGCTGAAAAACAGGATCGCCGCGGGATGGTCGAAATTTCACACACTACGGTGTGAACTTACCAACAGAAAGCTCCCATTGCACAGCAGACTCCGACTCTTCAGCGGCACGATCACACAATGCGTTATGTACGGTTGCTCTTCGTGGACACTCACCAAGGATATGCTCATCACGCTACAACGAACACAACGGGAAATGCTCCGACTGATCATCAATACGCCGAGAAGACGGAACACGCTGGAAGCAAGCAGGCAGACAGCACGCGCCGGCTGCAACACCAACAACGGCACACGTGTCGACGTCAACGACACCGAATCCAGCACCGACACCAGGACCGACAACAGCACCGAACGGCGACGACGACGACGACACCAGCACCAGCACCAGCACCGACCACAGCACCAGCACCAACACCGAACACAGCACCAGCACCAGCACCAGCACCAATCGAAAATAGCGCCAACACCGACAAAAGCACCTGCACCGACAACAACACCAGCACTGACAGCACCAGCACCAACACCGACACCGACACCAGCACCGACAACAGCAACCGACGGAGACAACGACGATGGATCTGAGTCTTGGGTTCACTTCATACGGAGAAGTACCTCCACCGCTTTGGCACATGCCAAACGAGCACGAATCGACGATTGGACCGACGTATACTTCAAGCGAAAATGGGCGTTCGCAGCACGCGTGGCCAACCACGATCACGACAGATGGACGCGACTGAGTGCAAGCTGGGACCCATGTGCACACGACCTACGCCCAGCCTTTCGCCGACATGGCGGGCAAAAGAAGCTTTGGCATGATGGCATTGTATCTTATCTACATGACGTGGTCGACACCGACAGCGATTCCAAACGGTGGGTGTTGGCCCAGAACCTACCATGGTGGAAGACTCGTGAAGAAGGCTTCTTGGACTACATGCGCCGCTTCCTCCACTCCAGCAACTACAACGAATGAGCCTTCCGGCGCTCCGGCGCCCCCGCTGGGCTCTCATAGGGCCGTCTTTCCGGGACGTTTTCCGGCGCTCTGCTCTGCTCTGCTCTGCTCTCGCCCGGCCTCTCTTCTTTACCAACCCCTTCTTCCATGCGCATTGTGCTTTGCTTATTATCGTTGCGCGCATCTCGAAGTGAACGACCCAGTCGGCCCAGGGAGGTGCGGCTTCGTTGACAAATCATACGCGACGCGGTTGCGCGTAGGGAATGAGGCGTTTGCGTGATTCCGAGTTGCTCGCGGTAGGTCCCACGCGCCGCGATTGCGCATTTTTCGGCATGGCGAGCTTCTGACCACAGACTGCCAATAAACCGCAGCACGCGTCTGATCGTCCCGTGCGATGGCCGCAACACGTGACACGCTCGTCCGCGTCCCTTCGGGGCGTATTATTTCGTTTTCTTCGTCGCCCCTTTTGTAGCTCTTTTCTACTTCGTTACAGTTGTTTTGTGTTGCTGCTTCTCCTGTGGCGACGAGATTTACGCATCTCCATTGCCAAAGGCCTGGCTCTTCGCGGGTCCAGGTCCAAGGAAGCATGCCCAGGAAAGGCCAGGCCTGTGCAGTGGACATGCCTAGATCCCGTCGTCCTGTCTCTGTGGGCTCTCACGTGGCACTTTTGGGCCGTATTGGGCCTATCTTGGGGTCGTGTTGGGTTGTCTTGGGGTCCTGCTGGGGCACGCTCGGACCGTCCTGGGGTTGTCCGGGACACTTCGAGGCCATCGTGGGCCGTCGTGGGTTCCCCGGGGTTCTGTTGATGCCTTCTGGGGTCGCGCCCGCCTCCATGGTGGTTTTCTTGCTTTGCCTGCGGATTGCCTGCTGCACCGCAACTACGGCGCCAGCACAGTCGCCTTTAAGTCGCGGCAGAACAGTTGTTTCGCGTTTCCGCGCGTGGTTGCTGGTTGGGGACTTCCGATGGCCACGCCAGGACGTTTGAATTTTTGCCCCCCCGCTCCAAGAAAGCATAGTGGACGTGAGGCAACTTCGGGTTTTTTTAATCTATCCCCCTCTGGGTCTCGATGGCCCCAAGGCGCGCGACATCTGTCGATCCACCAATTTTGCATTGAGCTCCTGGGGTCCCAAGTAAGGTCCTTATTTTGGTGCCTGGCGGTTCCACAATACAGAGCCTTGCTTGAGTCCTCGGCGGCCACTGGTCCCGCTGGTCCCACAGGTCTCACATGCCCTACAGGGCACACGGGTCTCACAGGTCCCACAGGTCCCACAGGTCCCACAGGTCCCGCAGGACTGTCTGGTCTGACAGCTCACGCAGGTCCAGGAAGCCCCGCAAGTCCAATGATTTTCTACAGCTCCCACATGTCCCGCGGCTCCCACAACGCCCACAGGCCCCACAGGCCCCGCAGGTCCCGCAGGTCTCCTTGGTTTCGCAAGCCCCACGAGTCCCAGAAGACCTACAGCTCCCACGGGTCCCACAGTTCTCAGAGGTACCTCACGGGCCGCAGTTCCCCACAGGCCCCGCTGGTCCCACAGGTCCCACGGGTCCTACAGGTCCCACAGGTCCCGCAGGTCCCACAGGTCCCACTGGACCCCCAGGTCCCACACGTCCCACAGGTCCCAAACAGTTCCCACATGTCCGACGGGTCCCACAGGTACCGCACGTCCCACAGGCCTCGCAGGTCTTGCAGGTCCCACAGGCCCCAGAGGCCCCACATGTCCCACAGGCCCCA